AGGGAAAGGGGGTGGGCAGCTGCTGGCCCCATTTAGCAGAGCTGCCCAGTCACAGCTGTACTCTAGCGAGCTCTCACTTGTGTCAGTTTATTTCACCACCATTCATCTCACTTATAGACTAGACTTCCCATAGTGTCATCTGTTATAAACATCTCTGGGACTATCGTTCTGTTCAGGAATACGTGAGCATTACAAATGCAAGATTTCTCATCAGTTATCTCAACCAACATAAAACAGCTCAGACGGAAGTGGCACACTGGAAAGAAATGCACGCAGCAACTGCAATGTCTCAAAACTGTCCATGCTGTGGTTGCCTGGCACATGAAAACCACTGAGACAGAGTTCCCCATTTCTCCTTGCTATTCCAAAACTAGCTGTTTTATTCAGATACCCGGCACACACAGCAAGGACAATTTCAAAATCTCATAGCTGACAGCAAACAGATGAAACAGTTGTCTGACTTTACTGTGAGCAACATCTCACAGCATTTCTTCCTCCAGGAGTAACCCAGACATGTTAAAAAACTGCCCGCTTATCATCAGAAGTTTCCACCATAAAAAGCTGGAGCAGAGCATACCACATGCTTTGAACAAAGTCGCATGATCAGAGTCCAGATGCTGAAGTCATTATTTTTTTTTTTCCACAAGAAGCAACACCGCTAATGACTAAAGCTGTAAAATTGCTACTTGAATATGTTATTTCTGTTTTCTTGATCCACTTCTAATTCCTTTTAGATTTGCATTTCTTCAGTAGTAAAACATTTACTTTGGAATTAAAAATTGGTATTTTTTCCATCTCTGACAATCTAGAGACAAACATTTTCCAATTTATTTGGGTGAGAAAACAATTACATCTCTACCAGAAATCAGTACTACAGGCACTGTAGCAGCCTTCATTAGACAAGAGCTATTAAAACATTAGAAAATTAAGTTGATACCATTTCATTAATTTCATATTCATTCTCTAAAACCAAAGAAAAGTAAAACTGTTTAAGATGTATTTGAAACTTTGTTCACTTACAAATCATAAACCAATGTTCAATATACTTCCCCTCCCCCAATTACTTTTTATAACATGATTTAATGATATACCTTGTTCATCTGAAGGTTTTTTAGCTGTTGTTGCCACAGAAGTATAGTTTCTAATCGGCAAATCCAAATATTGATGTTCCCTACCAACACAGATTTTCCTACTCCCCTAATCAGTATACAGAGAGTAGAACTCAGATCCTGTAGAAGATCTTTGATTAATCGTGGGTTATACTGGTCTTCCATGACTGGAAAACAAAACAAACCAAATACAATTTTGGTTAACTCAGTTAACCAAGATAATACAGTTAGCTCAAGCTAATCAACACTTTAAGATGAACTAATTACAAGTCAACTGTTTGTGTGCAAATAGCTCCCCTAATTCCCACCATGACATTCATTAATGCTGTTCGATAAGTGCAAGATCAATAATTAACAATTTCACAAACAAATTTGAGGTAACATTTCATGCTATGCATTTAATAAACTTAAGGCTGAACAACTAGTTATAAATTCAATTTCTTCTGTTCAAAACTGATAGTATTACAATGCTATTTAGTGTGGTTCCCAGAATTTTTTTTCAATATTATGTAATAGCTTTTTAAAAAATAAACAGTGAAGAAAAGCAGTTATATACTTTAAATCTCAGTACATCACGCAAATTGAAGGACAAACACGTTACTTAATCTAAAAGCTTTCACATTTCATAAAGAGTATAATTTAATAGTAACCAATAGTTTCTGAATAGAATCTAATTGCCATTTAACTTCACCAACCTGATTCAACAGACATGATTCAATCATCACGAGAAAACAACTTAATGAAACTGTGGGATGGGAAGTATGAAGTCTTTCACTAGTTAAATATGCTATTGCTTTGTCTTACAATATAAAAATGGTAATAAAGCTAACAAAAAAAAATATCAACAGAGAGTTTAGTCACACTGATTAAACGTGAACAAGCAGATTACAAAACTTTAGGTCTTACCCTTCCGCACAATTTTGTCCAAAATGTTAAAGTAGTTCTTCTGTGCTGCACCACTCAGTGAAGTTAACTGGGATTTTGCAATTAACTGCAAAAGCTAGGACAAAGAATTAAAGTCAGAAGAACGACAGAAGTAAAGGACAATTTCAAATACACACTTTCAGTATATACATTTGTAACAACAGCCTAGAGTACTGCAACCATATCTTGTGAAAGCGTAACTACAGAGTTCAGAAAATGAAGCAAGACAAACACGGAAAGCTTTAAGTATTCCCACTGACATCCCGTGAACAGCTTACAGAGATGTACATTTTCAAAATACCGTACAAGTAATAGTGTTTATCTCTGTGATAGAGTACATGACATGTGGCTGTTATAAGCTATAATGAAACAGGGGAGAGAGTCTGTTTTGGAGGCTCACAAATAGAATACGGTCTTTGATGTGGCTGGGTCCTGACAGATTTGCTGGCCAGGAACATTGCTCTGAACAGATACCAGCTACCAGACTTCCAGTTTCTGAGTGAAAGTATCATACTGGTCAAACCCAGGTGTAACAGACTTAGTGCAGTACTTTCTGCTACTGGAAGGGAAATGCTGTATTTTACCTAAACTGGAGGGAAGAAAAAAAATTCTGTATTACTCCCACATTCAGGTCCCTGGTAGAAGAAACCACCACAACCTAACAATGAGCAGTATACCTACTCTATTAGTAACTGACACTTAACTATATAGTAAGTATGTCCTAACTGTCCACATGTTTCTCTGTGGAACCACTGTGAGCAAGAGACCTGTGAGAACAGTGGGAATGGTCTAGGGGAAAGTAACCAGAACAATTTGTGTTCTAGCTAAAAACACAAATGCCGAGCTTTAGCTACTAGAGGCAGCCCTTGCTCTATTCTGACACCTTTGCTTTTACATTATAGATTCAGTTTTCTAGCTGATAAGGACTGTTGCCTCTTCAACAAAAAATAGTCTCTCAGTATGAAATAGAGTTTTTGAAGTTATGACAACATTGCAATATTTAGAAGTGTGGCACCGAGCTTTACAATTGCTGCTCACAATGCTGTCTTCAGCCCAAGTGTTCTCAATATATCAGAAAGGGAAAGCAGGGAGCAGAAACCAGCACCCCCTACAGAGCGCTCTAAACGCTAACCTGCAGAGCCGTGCTTTGTAGGACAGCATCAACTATTGGCACAGACGGCGAACAAAGACTAAGCCTGCCAAAAATGATTTTGTATCTTCATTTCTAAAACACCGATTTGACACTACACTCAACATTAATTTTCCTTTGGAGGAGGAGAGAATACACCTGTTCTCTCCCTGATATGATAATGTTCCTTCTGGCTTCTCTGCATGATCCCTGACAAAACATTGTGTGTTGCAAAAGGAGGAAACAATTCTCCTGATGTACTTAAATACAAGCAATCTATTTATACATTTTTTTGAGAGTAGATATCAGGACCTCTTCCTTGACATTTTCAAAGCCTTTTAGTTTGAATAATAATTTGGAGCACACCTAGAGGTCTCTGGCAGTTTGCCAATTCAAGCAAGTATGTACATTTCTCTTGATTAAATTAAAAAAACAGTTGTGTCACTCAGATTAAAGATCAAATCAAAGAAACAAATTCCACCTGGCTGATTTTAACAAAGATTCCAATTTCAGTGAAGGTTAGTATGCAAGGATTAAGACAATTTTAGCAGGTGCACAAGTACAAGGATCTGACACCTGAGTTCAGCCTTACTGATACATGCATAGCCATGGTTTATATTGTGTACTAGAGATTATAACTTTGAATGGATCTACTGTTTATTCAAATGGAAACATTTTGAAAAAAGACCATCCATATCAAAATCAATGTATCAGACATTTAACAGCTAAGAAGTGATCATTCTACTACAGTACAAACAAGCACAAGAAAACAGCTGATCGTACCTCCTCCCCACACTGATCACCCTAAAAGGATCTTGGTCAGACATCTATATTAACTTTTAATAGTAATTGGGAGGTTTTTAGTTAGTTGGAGAATCAAAAGGGATCATCTTTGTGGTCTGGGATCAAAGAATAGCTATCCAGTAGGGCTTGGTATTTCAGAAAAAATCTTCTTGATTTATATCTTGCTATCTTAAATGCAGGAAGCAGAACACCACACATAAAAGTAATCATCATTGTGGTCATGCATAACTAGGAATACTTCTTAGAGAAGAAACAGGAACTGCTGCACTGCATTGAGATCTACACAAAACATCTCCACCATTAGTAACTCCAGGGAAGTAAGTAAGAATTTGTATGGAGCAGATGGGTATGGGATGACCTGGCACTTACTTTAGGTCTTGCTTGCAGACTGGCTTAAAACCTGATAGAGTAGATTAAACATCCTTTTAAAAAACCTGTTGCAACTTCACTTATTACTGACATCCACACAGATATTTTAATTTATTAGATACACCACCACAAATGTTTCTCAAATCAACAAGTTCTACAGCTACAGAATGAGCAGCAGCTGTCATTCATATTGATCATGCTTATTAGCAGCTCGGTAACTTAAGGTCTTTGATGTACAGTTTCTGTACCTGTTGATAAAAGTCAGTTCGCCTCCATCACCTCAGAGGAACGGATGCTAAGATCTAATTAAATTTTTGTAATTGTAAAACAATTTTAAAATTTAAGAATTTTCAAATAAATTCTAAAATGTTAAAAGTAATTTGGAAGTCTGCTTGCTATCCTAAATCCACCCTAATTTCTTAGGGTCTACCATTACTCTAGTAGCAGTTTGTATGACAAAGTCAAAATTCTGAATTCAGGTATTGCTCCTTTCTCAATAATTTTAAGCCTAACTAAACCATTTTGGTGAACGGAAGAGAAACCAGTCAATGTGCTTATGTTAGACTTTACTTTATTCCAGTCAACTGTTTTAAGCAATCCAGCTTAGGCACTGCAGCATCTAAAAAACATGTAAAGTTCTAGTTCTGGATTCATTCTACCTGTTTACCATTCAAGTGAGGAACTCAAGGCTGACCCCATTTATAACACAATTCTTTTTTTTTTTTTTTTTTAGGTGCTCTCTTTTCTTCCTTCTGTTTGAGGCTGAAGAGCCTTGGGAAAGATCAAAGTTTTTGTTTCTGCTCCCAAAACAGCATTAAAAAGCAATGTTCTAAACCACAATGCATACATATACTAAAAAAAAGAAAAAATCTGTGAGAGGACTAAAACAGGCAAGTACCCTAACCACTAGTCTGGAAGCGAATCCTTTTTGCTTTGTTCCCTTTGGTCCCACATCTCTTGTTTTTCTAGAAGTATAACATACTCTTTCAGCTTCACAAGGATGGGCAGAACGTGTTTTCTCTCCAAATACTCCATGGCCTAGTGGTAAGGATGTCCTCCTGGTATGTTTATTTGATTTGTGTCTTTTCAACCTCTGGATACATTCCAACCACTACATTATTTGTGAACGGCCTCACCGCAGAGCTGATCTCTATTCCTGGTATGTCTCACACTTTGAGCTGCTCTAGGAATTGGGACAAGCACTTTACTACATCAAGTTAAATGACAAAGAAATTTGGGCCTATAGAAAGATCAGTATCTCCCAGAATGGGTATTTCCAAGGGGGCAGGGGGTTAGGCATCAAGGAAATTAAGAGATGACATTATGTGGCTCCCTAAAGTACAAGTTCCACGGTTTTGGAAAACAGGCAAGTACCACTGTTGTCCAGAGCTTACAAGTTACATGCATTTAATTCTCAACTTAAGACCAGACCTGACCCAGAGAAGTTAACATAGTGAGAAAGACACTTTAGAAGGAATCATGAGATTAGTAAGAAAACAAAGAAAAATTACTCAGTTTAAAGTTGCTTCATGCAGTATAAATTACACATCAACAGGATATTTATACAGTTGCAAATCATCAGTTTTTCAGGGCAAAATTATTTCTTTTGTACACATAGGCACATCAGCAAATGCATTTTTAAAATATGCATATAAAATAAAAAGCTTACTTTGACCACATAATTGAACCTTCTGATGTCTTGAATTGCACTTGAAAAGTCTAAGCGGTTAAAAGCTTCTCCCAAAGTGCAATAGCCATGTCTCTGAAAAGAAGAATAAACACATTTTAAATGGAAAGAAACAAAGATAAAATTGAGGAAAATATTCAGAAAAGCATTCTACCATGCAACTGAGGTTTATGTATACCATGGTCCCTGGAAATGTAATGTATCAGAACTGAGGATTTATTTAATTTCTTGTAGAACAAATGAAACCAGATATGCTCTTTGGAACCAACAGGCACATAGGCAATATTACTCAATGACAAGGCCTTTAAATCCATACTAATCATGCAAACTGTAATCACGGGTATCTGGGTGTCCTGGGAATCTACTCAACTATTGCATGACCACAGTGCTGGTACTCTGTCATGGCTATCATGCTCCTCATTTGTGTGAGGACAAGGTAGAGCTTATTTGTGCAGCGCTCCGAGCTTATAGCTATAAGCTTTAACTGACTGAGTTTATGTTCGCATTTGAGGGTAAGAACACACCTACTTGCTCCTGGGATTGGAGTAACAAAGGTTCTCAACATCTAGAATTTATTTACTGGGTGCTAGAAGTTTGGGCATTATTTTTGTTGGGTACCAAGAGCAAGAGAAATTGCATTTTCTTTTGGTGCTTCTGCATAGGTGTCTTAAGGCAAAAATGAGAGTTTCAGAGGCTGTTGTGGAACTAAGGTGGTAGTAGCAGCCTGAAATGACATGGGAACACATAAGCTGAGTAAATTTAGAAAAACAAAGCCACATAGTAGCCTTGGAGCAAATATAATGAGGCTAGAAAAACCCTACACCTGGTGAAAGAGATACTTGCAGAGCAGTGTGCTAGTGTGGTTTATCAGCCTAGGGAAGGGGGGATCAAATAATTATTTGAAGTTCATTCCTAGACAGACTTCCTTGGTGAATTGTGTGATGGTGAGATGGCGGCAGTACAACTCGATGTTCCTTTTCGCAACCCAATGAAAACTTACCCTGGATGTACCATGGTGGGACAGGAGACAACTATTTGCTGCAGAGTGGTGGTAATTACTGCCTACTGGTTAATGACTAAATTCAGGATCATACTGCTTGCTCATCCAGTTAATACATCCAAGATCCAAGTGGGCACCACACTTCACAATATGCACAACTTGGCTGGCTAATAGCAGTGAATCAACACTTGCAGACAACACCACTTCTGCTGAAATGTAAATATTTGTGGCTGTTCTCCAGCTAATCAGTTATCAAAAGGCCACGCTTAAATATACTAACAGAACTCCCTTCAACAGCTGGAAGCACATTTCTATGAAGCTTCAGCTTTACCTTTCCCAATGTACTACCATGATAAAATTACTCAAAGAGCATCTCCTACTTCATTTCAGCTATACCTGCGCTTGTTTGGGTTTTACTTATTTTCAGTGCTCTACTACAGCATGTTTCACATTCTTCTTATCAAGATCTTCCTACTCTTGTTATTTTTCCCTAAAATTCAGTATCCACTTTAGGAAAAAAAAAAAGTTTCCTAGTTGTGAGACTTAGCCATTTCGAAATCAAGTAAGATTACAACCTGTAAAGAAAACTACAGCCTCTGTAAATTTTAGTTTAGATAAATTATAGTTTAGATTGTTGCTCTGATTTTTTTTGCTCAGGTATGCTTATTCCTTGCTACTTTTTCATTCTGCCACTTAACTTTCAACTTTAAGCTTCTGCAATTAAACAAGGAATTACTTGAAAAAGACTAGTGATTAATTCTAACCATCTTTGGTTTGTTGTTAGTTTGCTGTTGTTTTTTTTTTCTTGTTTTTTTTTCTTTTTCCTTTTTTTTCCTTTTAACAAAGCAGAAAAGGTGAATAGTCAATTATTTGAAGACAACAGCAGTGACAAGAATAAGCCAGCTAGTACCCCAAAATATTTTGTCCAGTTCTCAATGGACAAGAAACCCAAGCAGAGAGTCACACATCACCAGTACACCAAATCTGCACAAATAGGAAGGAAAAAAAATCCTAACATACAGGTTATGAAGGACAGCAGTGAGTGATTTTAGGCAATTTATGTTTTGGCCTGAATGTAGTTTGACAATTCAGATTAACAACCTTATCATTCAAAACATCGTAACGACTGGTGACAGTCTGTCACACACACCACCCACCCCACCCCCCGCCATTCTTTCTTACCCTAAATCTGAGATGGAACAAAGGGAAAGACCATGCTTGAGGCTTTTGCAGACCAATATAAGTACCTACATCTATCACAAATGAAGATAAAACTAGGAAAGAGGGCTATGAATCTAGTGAAAGGCTTTGTAATACCCTTCAGATGTAGAAGGGCAGCCTCTGAGTCACTGGCCTGCAAGGTAAAGTCTTCCAGTGTCTCCTGTAAGTAAGCTCTCTCCACAACGCCATGCTCTTCCTGAGTACAATGCTCTTTATAGTCTCTCTCAGCTCCAAAATACAAAGCCAAGTTCTACTTGTGTGGCTAGGGATCATCACACTCACCTCCTTCCCTCTCCTGGCTGGCATTACTGTGATGAAAGACATCCTTACAGGTGTCCAAGTTCCACCCATCCCAGATAACCACAGGAACACACACAGGAATGAAACTCAAACTTCAAAACAGTTTCTCTCTACATACTATGGATATATTTTAACTCTTGGCTTTCTAGGAGGTCATTCCAAGGTCTTTCATGTTCCCTTTAGAGTTGCATGATACAGTTTGTATCCCAAACTGAAGGCATCTGGACTTTGTGGAATACAAAGGTCCTCTTTGCAAAGTATGAAACTGAAATTTTCCTTATATTCAAATTTACATTAAGATTCCAAAATACTAGGTAGCTGCCTGCAGAGACCTTCTTTGGAGACATTACTCTGGTTTTGCAAATACTCTCAAATTTAGTTCAAAGACATACAATACAGATAGAGACAGATGGGCTTGGAGTAGTGGAGAACTATGATGCCCATCCTTGCAAGTTCCCACATCTCTGCCACAACGACCCATGTAAAAGTCACTTTCCTGGCTGCCTTTGCCTCACCACGTGCACGTGTACTATACTGCCAATGAAGAGAGAGTTGAATATAAACCCTAAGATGACATAGCAAAAATGCATTTTCTAATATACTATTTGTCAATTAAGAACACAAGGATTGTAGGAATTGACCCACAGCATGCAGGACTTACTTCCCTGGTGCTTTCTTTATGAACATAAATCCACTTTTCTCGATAAAAACCTAAAATAAAAATCAAAATATAAGCATTTTTAGGCTTCCACTTTAGGTAACACCTTCTAGAAAGAAACTGAACAAAACCAGACCATCCTCAATAAAATGCTTCATGAATAGGAGAGATGGTTAAACAGTTCTAATGAAGGAAGTTTATAAAGGCTGAAAAGGATGACTAGAAATTTTCAGAAGTTACGTACTTCAAAAAATTAAAGGAAAAGTTAAAAAAATTCATAAATTAAACACAAGAGTTAGCACACAGTTGGCAGATGTAGCACAACTTTTGCCAACTGTGTACCAACAACAGTCAATTTCACCTACAAAACCCCTAATCTTTTTTAATCCAACAGGCTCCTTAGCACTTAAGACAGGGAAAATACAGAAATGAGCAACCTTTTTGTTCCTGAACGCTCCACCCCTTTAATCTATTTTCTTCTGTAAAGGTGCCTGCTCTGCACCTACTTGGTTCAACTAGTTGCAGAATGCTCCACGGAAGCCAACTATACAAGACTAATAAAGGCAACTAGGCAGATCTTCAGCTTTCAGAAGTATATGTTATCAAATGAAAGCATGCTCTTACATACAGCCACTTGAATCTTTTAAAATACTTTACATCCAGACTAGCCTGGGGAAGCTTGCAGCTTTCTGCAAGACCATCTCTGTTACAATTTGGGGAATATATAAATGATGGAGATCATTTCAAGATCAAAACATTAGAAACGCCAAAAAGTTGCTTATCAAATTATCTTTTTTTACCTACTCTACCAAATTCTCTACTCCAATAAGTTTACTTGCTGTTATAAATATATTTGCAGTCTAGAGTACAGATGATCTTTTAAAAGTGAAAACTGACAAAAATGGCTTTGATATTTTAATTTTTAAAAGGGACTATTTTCACGAAATTCAATACTGCAAGTCTTTTACAAAGAGCTATAGGTATGATGACAAAATATATTTATTTATGAACTGATTCTAGAGCTGCAACACTAATCAGAATTTGAATTAAGCAAAAATAAAACAGCTGCTTTGGTAAGCAGAAACTTCCATAAGCATCCAGAAGAATTTAATCTAAAACTAGTCCACCAAACAGTGGCTAGTATCAGAAGACATTTATTATTCAGGAATTAGTATTCATAAATGAATTAACTTTGGACCTTTGGAAAAAAAAATCATCATGCAACAGATGATCAATGCCACAATTCAATTAAGATGTATCACTCCTGACACTAGAATTTGTTGCCAGTATGGAAGTAAACATAACTCAGAAGGCTACTACTCTATAGATAAATATAAATAAGCAGCTATTATAAAATTTTGCTGAACCTACAACAGTCTTCTAAAATAAATAAATAAATAACCCCCAGCCTTACATTGTGAATCTGTGTTATTCCTAAAATGATCTTTTTTCCTTTTCTTGGCTGCAAACTCACAATCTTCAGTACTGTATATCTCTTCATCTTCATCATCACCAGTTAAGATGCTGAAATAAACACATCTAATTAGAATAGCAGTGATTAAATATTTAAGACACATACAGCTTACAATTCTCTCCATTAAAGTTTGCCAGCTGGAAAAAAAAAACAAAATCATATTTTTAATGATGTTCCTCTACCTGATGGTCCATAGCAACGTGTATCTTGAGAGGTGTCTTGTTCTTTTCTTCCCAGTGGGGTTGAATTTTGTGTTAAAGTGATTAAATACACAAAATATCTTCCTAATAGGTATCTTGTAAGCCATTACTGACATTTAGGAAGGAGGAGACACTACTAACTGGACAAGTGGCTGCCAGCAAAGTGTACAAAAATTCATTATTTGAAATGGACCGAGCCTTGAAAAAACTGTGCACACAGGTAAATGTCAGTGCAGAATTACTACACATCCTTGCATAGGCAGAAAGCCAACAAAGACAGACCGCTCTCTTACTACTGTCAACTTTGGGGCAAAGGCAGTCTTTCTTTTAATAAATGCCTGAATCACGACACTGTACATAATTTAGGTGTCACAGTAATGTTTTACCAATGATTTGTATGGTATCAAGAACCACGTGCATCCTCTCTGATAGAGAGGATCAACTACACCTACATCACTTCTGTCAGTTAACTATGTAACCTAATAGTATATATAGATAGTGTGAGTATACATATAAAAAGAGATATATATATATAAAAACAATTAAAACATTTTGTTGGATAAACTAACCTTTCTAAAATTCACATGCATTTAAAAACTGCCTGTGCTACATAAAGTCTACACAGTTTCATAAAGTTTTGCTTTCCATTTTTGTAGGTAATTATAAGGAACAGCAATACTGATAAGAATGGGTGTTCATTTTTCTAGCACAGAGCAGGAAGATACTTCACATGAAGGCCACAGTCTTGCACAGATAAGCAGAGTAACTTAGGATATGTGGTAGTGAAACTTACTTAACTGTAGGATTATTTTATTTCCCCATTATTATTCTTTGCCAAAAAAGTTGTATACTAGATTCCTCCCTTTCATTATTACTTTTAATCTGAATCTGCCAGATGAATCTATTTATCAACATCAGTTTGAACTTCAAACTGCACCAGCAACAGCTGAACATTGTTAAACTGAAGCACACTGGTTTACTGAAAAGTAATCTGTATTTGGGCATTAAGTGGCAAAATCCAAATTATATTAGTCTGTTGCTGCTAGCTTATACAGTTAAAATTTTCAGGCTTGAACCATCTGTTAAGGAAGATGACTACACAACACCGTAAAAAAGTTCTGTTTTTTAATGGCTCTGATCAGTAAATGCTAGCTCAGCTTAAAGATACACACACAAGTTAAGAAGACTCAGAAATAGGATATTATTTTCATCTTAGGTTTAAATCCTGGAGGCAAAAAAAAAAAAACAAAACTAACATACCTCTGCATTCAGATAGAGCTCAATCCAAGGTGACAGCCTCAGTTCATGTCTTACTATTTTTAAAGCAGAGGATACTCAACAACCTCAATACTCCATGCAACATTGCCAAATACCGTATCTGGTCAAACACCAAAAGAGTTTAGAGAAAAGGAACTGGCAACTGACAAAAGCAGAACATCAACACTGACCAGTTACTTTGATTATGTAACATTCCAATCCATCAAGTTTTTTTTTCCAACACTATTATATAGGAAATCTCTTTTAAGCTCACTAAAATTAATTAATTTTGTTTTAGCATATTGACAGTATTGCCATATCACGTGAGAAGTTACTGCAGAATCAGAAATAGAGCCCAAAGCTTCCAGACCTAGCTTTATCATCCTAATAGATGCAAGACTAGAGAGATATGGCCTGACAATGCAATATAATTCAGGCAGAACAGAAACAGGCTTGTTCCCATTGACCCAGGGCAATGGGGAGAGGAGGTTTTGCTTTAGAAGAGGAAGCTTAATCTGGCAGGATTCCTTCTTTTGTTCCTGGAGAGGAAGTGTCCCTAGAAAGCAATGTAGGCCAGTAACATACCTGAAGTGATTTAAAGCCCACCCCTGCCCCCCAATAATACACACTTCCTCAAGTATCAGATAAACAAGCAAGGCAGCTTAAGGACATTCAATTAATACACAGAATTGCAAAGATGAAGATGGCTATTTCAAGCACCTTTGTCTAACATTCTAATTAATCCGTGACATTCCTGGAATTCTTCATGTCATTTTAGAGAAAAGACGGATTTGACTGTTGTCTCTGAGGATCTTCTTGTACGAGGCTTTATTTCCTCATGTTCTGTCCCACTTTATGTGGAGACTTTCCCTGCTTATCTGTAACCAGCACCATTCTTCTTGACAAACTTTAAGTCTTTTACTGAGAATGAAAGCAAGGGTCCCACAGACATCAGAAGAGTGGGACAGAAATACAGGCACTTCCTTGGCAACTGCTAGCCTCCTTCCAGAAAACTGGAAAGCTAGTTGATGAGTAACAAAGCTGCTCCTCCATTTCCAAAAGCAACCCCTACCCCCTGCAAACACCAAGCTAAGATACAAAAAACTGAATCAAGTGCTGCACATGCCATATGGTGTAACAGAAGCCTTAATTTAATGTTTTTACCCTAATACTGCAGATGACATCTGAGTGCACCTGGAAGGATTTAAATACATACACAATACTGCCAATTTAGAGCTATTCTTATTTTCTTATCTTGATGATGCACTTCATAAAAAAAATATTCTAAAGCTTCTAAAATCAAAGTACCCAGTGCCCTTAGCTGAAATTCTTGCATACTTTTGTAGGGTATTGTAGTTCTTTCTCAGAAAAGTAATTTCCTAACAGGTTATTTAAATACTGTTAGGCATGACACTTAAAATGATGGAAAACTTGACAGGGCTATTCAAACTCAAAACTATCCTTCCTCGTCCCCCTGCATCTTTTCTCATAGAGGAAGGAATGCCCTCAAGTCATGCAATTACCTACAGAGACATGCTAAGTGTTTTAGAAGAGACTCAAAGCCATTTACAGCTTGACCATGTATGGAAAATCCTGAGGTAAGTGCTTGCACAAAATTACGTTACAATGTATTTGTCAAATGCCAAAATTATCTAAGACTAGATTCAAATCCAAGGACTTCTATCCAGTGCCAAAAACACTTTTGTGAACACTATATCTCACTTACAGAATTAGACAAGAGACACCACAGACTCAAATGACTACCCTGCCAGCCCTAGTAGTTCATATGAGCCTAACACACACACACAAAAAAAATTACTATCACCATCATGCAAATCTTATTAGATTAGTCTGATTCTCTCTTTCTTCTATCTCAGAAGGAAAGCATCAGATAGCCTGCAATTTAGGAGTAAAGCTATTGAGAAGCGTTTACATACAATTCTAAGGCAGTGCTGTTCTCTCTCCCCCACGAAGCTCCAAGGACACAGGGCCACAGCACTGGAAATCTCTATCTGCACTAGAATGTATAGGTACACATTGCTGGTAGCCATGGCCAGCATTCAGCCCGCAGAGCGTGAATGAGCGCCGCCTCAACCACAATTCCAGCTACTGTATACCACGAATACAAGGCACTCTTCACATACATAATAATACTAATTATCCAAAAAAGTAAGAGGTACAGAACTGAGGGTCTCATTTTTCTATCTCAGCTTCCATAAATGGAACTATTCAAGCATTATTCCAAATCATTTAAATTGTTCCTGCACAAGTGATTACGTTTGTTCAAGCAGGGATCTCATTAAGTCCACTATTTTTAACTAATTCATCAAACTGGATTCACCAAGGCACTGGATGACTAATTGAATAAGGTATAAAGTTCTATTTTAATAAAAACACATTATTCTTCAATTTATGTAAGTTATTGACATCTCTTGAAGGTTTCTTTCTGAATCTGTTTGTGAGTAGATCTTTTTAATTTCTGAAAAGAAAGTATTTGCAATTGATAGAAGACAAAATTTGGCAAGTAACTCTATCTGTACTTTCTCTCACAGAAGAGAATACAAGTAATAGTATCTGCTGTAGATTAAGTTGGTCCCCGAGTTTGGGATTCTGACAAGCTTGCAAGCTAGCCTAAGAACGCCAAATCATGAAACACCTCAGATTCCATGAAAACTTTCCCCCAGAGCATTTCATGGCTAGTCCCTTGAAATTAACACACCTGTTTCAGTCCTGAACTTTAACATCCGTATCTTTCCAAAACCAGTTGATTTAAATCTGTTTCTAGCAAGACAGCTCCAGAGGAGTTCAACACTAAGTACTTCCAAGACTAAGGAAAAAAAAATCTAGCATTTTTGCTTGAAGAAGCCATAAAAATACCTCAGCTTGCTCTCTGGAGAAGAGAGATACGTATATATCTATATAATTAGGATCAGAGGAGCAAAAGTCGTAATGATATTCATAAAGACAATGATAATTTATGTCATACTTGCCAAGCAATATTCATTAAAGCAACCTACAAGATATAATTATTTAGTAATTGTGCAAATAGCTATTAAAATTAAATTAGATTTCCTTTCATTTGGCAACTATATTATTAAAAATATATGAAAGAGGGAAGCAAATATTTTTTCAAAGGTATTTAAGGCAACTTTTGTGTTGGCAGCTCACTGAACACTCTTCCAGACAAGCACAGTCTTTTGTATCTACAGTGGCCAGACTGTGCGGAAAAAGAAGCCCAAATAATATCAGTGACAGATGAACACAAGAAAAAGAGGCATTAATAAAACAGTAGGTCATAAGCTTAATAATAATTATTCATTGCTTGATAACTCTCTTGAGGTTTATCTCACAAATTTAGAAAACACAGGTGTATGAGCACAGCAAGTCCTAGCTTGCCAGTAAATTCCCTCTAAATCAGATCAGTTACTGTATCATTTACTAGACTAACAACAAAACACTGAATGTTCCCTTTTCTCATTATGAGCACATTATACTGGAATTTATGACCAAGAAAGATGTCCCTGAGAATTACTTCTTGGTGGAGAAACTAAGCAAAAATTTGTTTGGATAAAGCTATTTATATCACACCAATCTGTCAGCATCTGCCACAAGTATTAGTTTATTTAACTAATATCTTTCTCACCTGTTCTATGACAGAAGCACATTCAGTCATATATTGTGTTACAGAATTACCATAAAATTACTATTAATTGTGTAGTTGGAGAAAAAGCATTATATGACTGCCATAAACAGTCCTATTCCAACACTCAATCAACAGAAGGTCTTCGTTTGCTTACAGGTAACATTGCAAGTGCAACAGGCATATTGAAATTTCTATCACTTTTATCTTTAAAAAGAAAAAAAAACTAAACAAAAAAACCCCTGTCAAGTATTGAAGGCATACAACATAAGATGAGATCTGTCTGCCTAAAATAAGCAACTCATGCAGCAGTGATGAAAGACAACCTCCACAGGGCTCTCCTGTCTGCTTAACTAAACACATGGTTGCATTTGTACACTTCTGCCATATGCAAGTGATACCATCTACCACAAACACTTGCAGTCTGAATGGAAATCAAGTCAATCTTTGCCTTCCCACCTGCTATTAACTCATGCAGAATTATTTTTTTTTTTTTAACTTACACAGTATGACTGATATCATTCAGCTGATTATTCCCATCCCCAACTGCAGGAGTGAAGGGTTCACATCGTTTCCATCCATCTTCTGTTTTAACCCATCTCCATCCAGGGGATCTCCAGTCTTGGCCCAAAAATGGCATGGTTTCGCTATAAGCAGCAAGAAGAATGTTTGTGTATTATTTAATTAATAATAAAACTTGCAAAACTTCTTGTCATTATTTCAGTTTTCTCTTTAACATTAAAAAAATAGAATGATTACCTGGAGGAAAGAAATTTCTCTGTAGACCATCATTTTAAGAAACAGATTCAGTGTTTTAAGTACATTTTTGATTCTGTAACCTCATTCTTGTCTTTCAGCATTTATTAGATCAAGGTAGGTTTCCCAGTTCTTTAGAGAACAAGGAAAAGAATGATGGTAGTCCAGGAAAGGGTTGATACCGAAACAAGCAGAATTTTATCCTGTGTGATCTGCTCCACCCTGATCAGATTACTGATTTTGAGACCTGACTAATAAATGGTTGTTAAAGAGTCTGACAAGCCACAAAATCAATGTTGCTTCTTTTATTTTTTCTAAGACTTATAAATACTGAGTTTGTGCTACACCGTATAGTGATGTTTCAGTAAAGGAATTTTCATTTTCCCAAATATTTTTTCAGCTGTTGTTGAGGGTCACCTCCCACACTAGGCTATTAACTACCAGGACAAATGGAGACTGAAACATAAAATCAATTGTGAAATGTCTCCTGAAATTCGTACAGAGATGCAAGTCATCACAGGTATATCATTCAGTGTTCTGCTACCCTTTTTCAAAAGGCAGATTTACTTCTGACACATTAATAATTTGAACAATGCAGCTTTCTACACTTTGAAGACTCTGACCTTGCTAGCTTTTGCCCTTTTCTTCCCTCACCACGCATACATGTTGCTCCTTATTTTAACTTGATTTCACATGCAAGCCATATAGGGAAAATAGCATTATTATATTTGAAACATATGTTAATATATAACACCAACAACTTTGTTCCTAAGAGGTATGCATTTCCTAGTATTTCTTCAACTTGAAAAAAATATCAGGCAACATCAGCCAAGTATCACTATGAATTTATTTATCCATTTGCACTCTTGACCAGCATCTGCCCAATATACTAGTTAGAACAGAAAGCACAGAACCATAAAAAACCTGAAGAAATACACGTTGAGTGAGCCAGTATTTTTTTTAATTAAACCCACCACACACACCACAAAAAGTGCATTCTCTAGCCCTCAGCATTGACTGACAGTCCCCTTGCTACTCTTAACTCAGCCTTCCTCTGCATCTAACAGGAATCACCACATCCTTTCCTCTAGTCACCACAAATTCTATTCATGCCTTTCTACTTTTCCAATCTTTTAGTGCTTCCTAGGAGTAATATGAACCATAACATACTTTTTTCCCCAAATTGTTTAGAACTCATCTCATTTTGACTGAAATTAAAGCCTCTTGTCTTTATGATACAACTGTTTAAATAGTTGGTGCTCATGAGTGCATTTCAGAATAACACAGGTTACAGCATTTTTACTTCAGTCAAGATAAGCAGAATTTACCTGAAAAATTGTTAAATCACTGAAAGAGTCTATGAAAACAGCAGACAGCAAGTCAAAAAAATCACCTTAGACAAACATAAAACAAAAGTTTTATGTATCGAGAAATACAGAGCTCACAATCAGCAGCTCTGATATAAAAATAATACACTGTTGTAGGTGCATGTCATTACTCAAAAAATTAAAATCTAGAGAGAATTCAGAACCACAGAGATCATTATAGGCTGAATGGGATAACTTGGGAAAAAAAAGGGTTAAAAATATTTCACGAATACTTACATTGATAAAGAATTGTTGGGAAAAGGAAGCGAAAACACCAAGAACACATACTGGCAGCAAGGTGGGAATGTGTATTGTTAGAAGTTAACACCATAAGTTACAAAAAAAAAAAAAAAGAGGATAAAGTAAAAAAATTTCCTGAAAACAATACAAGAAAACATGGAGTATTTTGTTCAAGTGGATGAAGTAGCTGAAGTCCAAAGCTAACCAAAGTTTACAGAATAAGATGCTTTGTATGCTTTATAAATCCTTAAACTTTGGGAAAAAACCCTGTGCTTTCAAGGTTTCGGGCCAGCAGTGTAAGTTCTGTGTGTAACTTCCTCCTAGGGAGCTGTACGAGCATTTAAAATGACATGCTTCAATAGTTAACATGCTCTGAACCAGACTACTTTCCGGTTCTTTACAGCCTGAAAAGTGATGTTTTTTCATTGCAAGGTTTCAACACAGAACAAACATTCCATCATCCCTCCTCCAAGAACTACATTAAGTGTTTTCAAAATAGTAACAGTGGTATCAGGAAGTGTGCATATACACATTGAAGACTACCGATGTCTGCTCCAGAAATCCTGGAAAACCATACTTAAGACAAAAAGCTCAGAGACATGAATGATTTCTGTATACGTATGATATATTCAGCACATTATCTTTCTAGGAGAAAAAAATAAGACAGTATTAGAAAAAAGATCACAGATTACTTTAACTTCTTTAAAATTACTTAAACATTTGTGGAAGATTACAAGAAGTCAGTAATTCTGTGAGGTTAGTACATGTTGACCTAAATTTTCTTTCCAAAGAAATATTCTTAGTCCAAGACTTCTCACTATTGCACCAGCTAAGAGTACAGCCGTCAGTAGAAATCCCACAAAATGACCTGTAGTCATGCTCAAAAGTTGTAGCTCATGGAGTTAGAAATGTGAAAGTATCCTTTAAGTAACAGTGTGCATGCAACTAGAAAAAAAAAATCCCATTGCTTCTCACTTTCTGTAGAATTGAAGTGTAGATTTGATTGTTCACAAGAAAGTGACCAAGTTTTAAGAAGCTGCAAACTTCTCTCCTATGCATCTCTCTCATATGAGAGGTGATCATAGAGTATTACTTCCTGGACAGGTACAAAGATTCATGCTTTTGCTCTACCTCCACTCAAACTTTGCTTCCCAGTGCAGCATTGCACTAAAGCACCCCTGTGGCTTCCAGACCAGAGCGTGCTTTCAAGAGTTCTAGCATACTTTATGTAGTATACCTTCAGTAATAGCAAGCAGCTGTTTATTTGTTAAAACTTTCACCACAACAAAAGATGAGCTCCCTAGACTTGGCCTTTGGTGAAAACGCAGTGGGACAGGGTTCTTCAAAGCAAAAAAGGATTGGGAGAGGAACATGGTCGTTGACTAACAACGAGAGTTTAAGACAAGACATCGATCGCACTTAAATTTTTCCTAAAAACAAATGTGAACAAGACTTCTCCACTTTGCATCACACACCTTTTCCTCAGGAGAGGGGGAAAAAGGACTGAGGAAACAAGAACTACTAGAAAGAAGCACAGAAGAGGAGGGCTGTGTATAGCAGTTTAGTACAGCTTCAGATTACAGTAACTGCTTTAGCTATCCTTGCACTTGTGAGTTCTGCTTTCCATGAAGTAGATAACACATGAGCAAACATCATTGCAAAGACATTCAGAATTGCAGCAAGTCATCCTATCACTCTGCCACTGTACCAGAGAAAATCTCTTCTGTCTACATATTCCTGTATTTAAGAACGTGTCACGATGACTCAAACCATTCTTGCTATTCAGGAGCAAGACTGTTGCCACCACGATGGGAAAAGGCAAGGTTCTGCTGTTTCCTAACAATCCAACAGCACACCCATCTCTTCCTTTAGCAGCCCAACTTTTAATAGAAACTGCTCCTTTGCACTCTCACTACAGGCAGATGACTTCTGGACCACCCTCTAGGAGCTAGGCCAGTCAACCTCTATGACTCAGAGCCTGCTTACAGACTTCATCCCACCTCATGTTTTTTCACATCAAATGACTGTCTCAAATCAAGCCTCAGACTTCAGCAAGACCACAGTTCATCAACTCCCCAGTTCTTCTCTCGTCCACCCCTATTCTAATGGTTATTTTGCCATACAACAGTTTTAGCGCACCCAGGCCACGCAGCTCTCAGTTCCGAACAGGCACAAACGTTCCTCCTCTCCAAGTACACTTCCCACCCTCGGCTTCCTCCCTACTGCCTGCTGCTGCCCCGGTAACTGCTCCCAATTCGCCCACCCTCACGCAGCCCGGTGATACCCAACACCCCACTCCTCCAGGCAGGCCCCAGACACCTCCCGCAGCTGCCCC